AATAGTGTTTTGAGAGGATATTTTGTCTGCATCTTGTACTATGGATAACCACTAAGAAGATAACAATGTACAACGTATTAATTATTGAAACTGTCCTATTAAGCAGTTTTAAAGCAATCTTATTGATATTTGTTTCTCAATAAAATAAAATAGACATCACTCTAAAAAAAAAGTGATGTAAAATGTTTTAGAAACTAAAAATAGGAAAACATCTTCATAACCTCTATGCATAAAAGGATTTCTATAGACAGAAAAAGTACCAATCATAAAAAAATTGATTTCTTTGATCACATTACATTTAAGAACTTCTGTTCATTGACGGATCCAATAAAAACCCAAATTCACTGAACCCTGCCACACATACCTGCATTTGTTATCACTCAGCTTCATAAATAGCCACTAAGTTGTCTTGGGAGTTCATGGAAATACCAGCTGGCTGTCAGGCTCCACTTGATGTAAGCAGTTATTGAGGCAGATGCAGCACATTCTGGGGACAGGATCAGTTCATCCTAATCATGCCTGACAGAAAAATCCTCAAGAAAAGGCTCAACACAGAACCAATCCAGAATTCTAGAGCCAAGGCCCAATTCTGAAGAGTGTATGTGTGAGTCTGGGCTCACCAGCTTTTGTTTATACAAGAGCCTGAGCGTCTGAGAATATTTCTAGAACCTCTCTCATTTTACTAGTGAAAGAAAGAATATGTTTCTAACAATTATTAAGGAATACAGGCTGTGGTGTTGAACTGGGATAAACAACTGAAGCCTTGAAATCCACTCTCCTAAAGTAATGGCTTCTGATTAAACCTTAGTCCATTTGCTGTGGCTATAACAGAATACCCAAGACTAGATAATTTGTGATCTATAAAGGAAAAGAGTTTATTTTGGTTCTGGTGGCCCAGAAGTCAAAAAGTATGGTGCAGTGAAGGCTTATGCTGCTTCAGCTCATACTGGAGAGGTCCGGTGGAAGCACACAAGAGGGCAGCACGTGACAGCCAGCCTCACCTTATAACAACCCATTCTCATGGTAGCTGACGTGGACCTGTGAGCAGGCAGTCACTCACAGGGGAAGAAAGTATTAACCTATTCACGGGAGTTCTGCCCCCTTGACCTAAATAACTTGCATAAGCCCACATCCCAGTATTGCCACAAGAGTATTAAATTTCTAAACACATTTTGGAGGGGGAAAAAAACATATTTAGCCCTTAGCAGAATCTGCTTGCTGAAGTCCTGGTCCCCAAAGAAGGAACCTCAGATACTAACTAACCATCACTGGGGTGTAGCTGAAGTCGGACATGTCCATGTGTGAGGTGCAGCCTATGTAGTAGTGCATTTTAAAACTATAGGCAGTATGGCAGCAACATTTACCAGACTCCAGTCTCTTAAGGCATCCCTTTCAGAGACCAGGGAGATGGCTCAGTAGAATAAGCACTTGCCTGTAAGTGCAAGGGCCTGAGTTCAATCCCCAATTCCGAAAAAAAAAAAAAAAAAAACCTACTTTTCAGATTTTAATCATATACTATTACTACTACATTTCCTTAAATTAACTTGCTTTTTATATTTAAATTTCTCTAAATGATAGGCCTG